AGTCATGTTAATAAGAATGGCGTACGGTATACATTTTTCCGAAGAGTGCCACGTAGTGTGATTGCTATAATCTTTGTTTTATTTACTATTTAAAAATACGCCCCCCCCCCAAAAAAAATACCAAAACATAAACATAAACAAGACACATTCAGCGACGATATTTTGAAGAGAACATTAATTTCCAGATAGGAATAAAAGAAATAAAATAAAAATTATAAGATCTGTAAGATTGTGTTGAATTTATTAATAGAAGATCGACGATTTAATCGAAGAAGGATATTTTTTTTTTCTACTCGTAACTTATCCAAGATATATAAAAAATACTCTCATTTATAATATACAATTATTAATTCATTTAATATTACTCATATACAAGATTATAATCAGCATTATCTCTGTATCGATTATTAATAACAAAAAAAAATAAAAATAAGAATTATCATCATTGACGTTAGATTTAATTGAAGTCGATGCTAATAGTTATGAATTGTCGTTAGATATATATACATACATTTATATGTATATATGAATATGCATATATACATTATCTAAATGCTAAATATGTTTCTTTCACAACTCGAGAACGAGCTATCGCAAAAAAAAAGAAAAAGAAAAAATAAAAAAATAAAAAGGAAAAGTCGCGCCTACGGGTCCTTTCGCGCTTGGAGATAAATGAATATCAGCGAGAGAGAGAAAGAGAGAGAAAGAGAAAAATAGTCGTATATCACGCGAGCTGGGTTAAATAAATAACAGCAAAGTAGAAACGACAAATATCCGTGACTCGTCGCGATTCGCTAAGGGAATACGTTTTCACAGGTTTAAACACGAGCCGGCCGGTCAGTCAGTCAGCCAACCATCCGACCATCCAACCAACGAAAAAACCAAACAAATAACGAACCAACCAGCTAGCTTAGTTAGCCAGGAGATAGATAGATAGGTAGGCGCGGTGTGTTTAGAAAGTTGAATGAATTAAGCATGCCTACCTGCTGCTGCTGTTACTGCTGCTGCTGTTGCTGCTTATGATTATTACAACAACTACCCACGTGTTACACGCTCACGTTAAAGAAGAGAACGAATTTAAATTTCCCCGCGAAATCCGGTTTCGTTCTATCTCTTGTTTTCTATATAGCACGGCGGTGTATTATATTATGCGCTTATGTAATATAATTTCTTACCGAGTCAATTTTCTCTATCTATTTTCTTTTTTTTTTTATCTTCATCTCACGAGAACTTACCTGTAAACAAAAAGGAATAAATTTCAATTAGATATTATCGATTGTTGCGTTATACAGAGCGAGAATATAAAATTATGTCGCGCGATTTAAAAGCGACATACCGATTGCAAATGAATTAGCTAAGCGACTGGTTAATTGAGTTATTCGCAGACATTGTAAATGAATTGTAGTATGAATACTTTATTACAATAGTTACACAATCAATTTTACAAAGGTATCTTTTTTTTCTTTCAATATATAAGTATATGTATATATATACAAGAAATATCATTTTATAAAAATACAATAGATCAGGTTCTTCTAACTCGCCAAAAAAGCGTTGCGACTACTGTTTTCATACAATGCAGTTTCTCATACAACGTTCTAAATAATAAGAATAATAAATTGCGAAAATAATTCACATTTAATAATAAAATTTTCATTAATTGAACATTACATCAATGCTTTTATCCTTAACGAATTCCTTTTGTTTCATAATCTTATTTATTTTAAATTTGTGAGTACTATGTTGTCAAAAATAGTTTGCAGAAACTTATCTTGAAGAAATGGAAATATTTAAAAAAAAGAAAAGAAAATATATATATATATATAATTTGTTTTTTAAATCGTATTATATAAGAAAAATGTATGTAAAACGTGATATTTTAAAACGAAAAAAAAATTCACATACAAAACGTAATTTATTTTTATCACATTATACAAAATTCTATTGTATCATTTGAATTCACATATTTCTTGTCACAATCGAATAAACTTGAAATTCTCTAACATAAGCGAATAAATTTAATAGTAAGGAAAAGAAAGTTGTGGTGGTAATGGTAATAGTTGTAATAGTAGTGGTGCTGAAGCAGGACCCGTAAAAGGGGAGGATGTGGAAGGGATGGAATAGCTGGTGCGATAACGGACAGAACCGTCGATCCAACTACACTCGTAAAGCTGGACATTTAACGATGGCGATTTAACTGTCGTAACGAACCCTGCGCGCGCGCGCGCACACACACACACACACAATCTCTCTATCTATCTCTCTCTCTCTCTCTCTCTCTCTCTCTCTCTCTCTCTCTCTCTCTCTCTCTCTCTCTCTCTCTTTTTCTTTTTCTATTTCTATCTCAACGACCGCGCTTTAGTCCTTGAGGTTTCCCCGATAATGTACAATTTATCGTGCAGTTATTTTTATTTTTTTTTTTTTTATATATATTTACGTGTATTTATTTATATATTCATTTTAGATTTATCATATTTATATTTTTAATATTCATATTATATATTTTCGTTTTCGTTATTATTCACCATTTTAATCGCGATTCACTTTCTGTTTCATTTATAATATAATAATTTTCATAGTATTGATCCTTCATTTGTTTTCTTCTTGAGAAGATATGACACATTTTATTCGTTATATTTTGTGCAAATTATGCTATCGAGTTTGAGTACGTATTTAAAGTACAATGTGTTTCGTATTTTTCTCGAATTTTAAAAGAAACTAATAATTCGTATTAACGAATATATATTGGAACGAATATATTACGACTAAATTAACGTTTAATTGAGAATATAAAATATCTCGCAACAAGTATCGCACACATTTTATGGAATTTTTTGTTGCAAATAATTTGTTGTTGTTGTTTTTTTTTTGTTTTGTTTTCTTTCTTTCTTCTTTTTATTCGCTGAAAATAAATCGATTTAAAAAAGAGTGTATTTACGATATTTTTATGATTATAGTTAAAATAAAATACAATTTTAAGCGTAACTCCATCGTATAAAATCCAAAATTTGAATATCAAATCGAAATATTACCAGATTGTTTTTTATTTAATATCATATCTCTCGTAAAAAAAAAAAAGAAAGAGAAATATAAAATAATATTGATTGAAAACATTACAAATCGTTCTGTAAATCGCGAAAGCTTGATTCTCATATAATATTGTACTGAATGCGATACTACATCGAGAGTAAATACAACGAATATATACATACTTACATTTACAGTATACGTATATAGAAAGAACGTTCGGAGAAGCGAGAAAAGCACATCCAAATATACATACTAGCAAGTAAAGGACAGAAAGTGTTTTCCATGGCGAGTAAGCAGGTTACATACTCATGAGTAGCTAGCCTCGTATATGCTTGCTCAGCGCTGAGCATGAACCATAAGAAATACAAGTGTTTGGTATGTGTGTATGTTTAAGTGTGTGTGTGTATAACAGAAAAAGAGAGAGAGAGAGAGAGAGAGATAGGACAGATAAAGAGAAAGAGAAAGAGAGAGAGCATTCACCTAGAGTCGCGTATCTGGTGGGGAGTTACGCTGGACCTCAGCCTCTGTTCGTGCGGTGTGTAGTCTATGAGTCAAGTTAACAAAACCAGTCGTCTCTCTACTGGCTGGCTGAACTGGTTGCTCGCCAGTTGCCTTCTAATACCCCTACCGATTGTTTCGTGAGTTTTCTATGTAAATGTGTCTATTCTTTTTCTATTAAATGTGTATACGTGCATAAAGAATCGTGCCAACGTGCATAAATCGGTGCGTGCATACGTTGTCGTGTATGTTACTACTGTATATATGTGTGTGTGTGTATGCTTGTGCGTATGTTAATGTGTATATATGTGCAGAAGGAAAATTTCGATCGTAAATACGTGCTACGTTCTTCGCCATTGTAGATTCTTTCGTTAAAGTTCTTCCGGGTTCGATCTTCCTGCGAATCGAAACGTTTCTAAAAGTGTCCCCTTACAGATGAGTACGATCGAACTACGATATATAATACGAACGTTGGCTGAACTGTAGGCGTCACAATAGAAACTTTTCGTTTTGGCTTGTCTATTGGATAGGCCTATTATTGGCATGAGTCTTCTCCTCTATACTTGAGGTAGGCGAGATTTCCAGCCGTGAAAGTTTCTCGATCGAACGATCAACGTTTTAGGTATTCCATTGACGAATAAGCGATAATTTAAAGACGCATCTTTTCTTTTCTTTTTTTTCTATTTGTAGTCACTAGAAAATTTATTATTCGAGCTTAGCGCAATATTTTTTTTATTGAAATCGATAATTAGTAGATCATAAATCATACGCGTTATTTTTATTAATTCGTCAATTGACAACGATTGAATTTATATTCAAATTGTTCATTTTAGAGAAAAGTGTTAACAACGAAACAATTTTTCATGCATTCTGAGAAATGTCACCTTCAAAATAAGTATAAACATTCTACGTCTATTTGGCTCGCGAATTTTTGGAAAGATCTCAAATCGATTGGTCACGTTTATATACGATAAACATCGACGCGACGATAAATTCATGACGAACGGATGCTTTTAAAAGGGCCAAGCAACAATACTAGATTCGATCCGTGTCAAGGCAAGGAGCTCCGTGCAAAGCAAATGTGATCGGTCAATTGTTCAAAAGTCTATGATTATTTTTGACTATTATTTTAGAAATCAAATGTTTGTTTGTAATTTCGTCGTATCGAAACAACACCGGTAATGACATCTTTGTGTTTTCGCAAAAATTTGTAAACGTTTTCTCTCATATATTTTACTTGTTTATTTTATTAATTATCATAACATTAACACTATTACGCCTAATCGTTTATTAGCATACAATGACCATATAGTGGAATTACAAAAATCGAAATATTATTTTCTTATGAATCTCATTGAAACATAAATCATTACGTAATTATTACTATAACGTTTTACATATGTTCATAAATATGATATAGGTATTTATATATAAATTTATGTCACTTTCTTAAAGTATAAATGTGGCAGAGATTAGGTGCTACTAGAAATTTCAACTAGACTGTGCTCTATGTGTCATTCGATCGATATATTTATTTCGTATCTCACTCGATCTCTGTAGTATCGAGTTTCTTGAATGTAAAAAAAAACAAAAAAGAACAAGGAAAGAAAAATTGTCAAAGAATAATGACCCGTTCGAACGAGATACTCGAAAGATCGTTGAATTCGCATAAATCAGAAAGGAGGTATCTGTACGACGTTATCGGAATCCAATACGAAAGATCAAGGGATCGTTTTAAAGAACACTGGTGAATCCGATTCTCCTCCAGCAACAACATAAGTGTTTAGACAGTGTGTCGAAGAAAACCGGTTAGGGAAATATGTATGTGCCAACAGATTTCGCGTTTAACTTCGAACGTATGGATAAAATAGTTCACGGGAAAAAGTGGTGATATAAGAGAGAAGAGTAGAGAAGAAATAAAAAAAAAAAGGAAAGAAAAAGAAAAAAAAGATCGACAAACAAATATGGATCGAAGTTTCAAGAACAACATGGACTTCAAGATGAATCAGCAAAACTTTAAATTGAGTGATTTTGGCCTCGATAGTAAATTATCATCCAGCGTACATTCGAAAGTGATTCGTAGTTCGGTAAGGACCGGTTGTTCGTGTTATTCTCAAATCGAATCGGTTCAAATCCGAGGGACATTTTCGAATAACGGTGATAGTGATAGTAATAGTCTTGCACAAAGTGGGACCAACGAACTAAACCTCTCTAGACTAGCTTCAAACGTAGGAAGAGGATGTGGTATCGATACTTCGATCGTTTGCAACGATCATTTTCGAACTTCTTCGTCTTCGTCTTCTCCTTCTTCTTCTTCTTCTTCTCCTTCTTCCGCTTCCTCTACTTCTACCTCTTCTTCTTCATCCTCAAGTCAAGCTCGAAAGATTGGCCAATCAGCGAGTAACCTATTCGTCGATAGCTTTCAAACTTCCAATCCAAGCAACAACAATCCTATTCCTTTATCAGGAACAACTAGTTCGATACTACAAGGAAACGTTTCTTCGATCCCTTCGCCGAATTATTGGAAGCAATATGGCGGCCAGGAGAGCGGGGTAAATATACGTTTAACATGATTCATTCAGATCCAACTATAATTATTATACTATTTATTGGAAATGTACATGTGTATATAAATTACGAGTTGGAAGTAATTTACTCGATCGATCATACTACGATAGTATAGTTAGCGTTATAGGGCCAAGGACCCAAGGACCTAACTCGAGTTGACGTTCTCCAGAAGTAGAAGGACCCCGACCATCCTTGGTACCTAACGTTCTCTCTCCCATATCTACTATGTATTCGAGATGCGTTTCCCTTCCTAAGCTAATTAGTATGTTCCATGGCATCGGATATTAGGTGGTGTTCACAGTTGCATACGAAAGGAGAGAACAGCCAGTGATATGGTGAGAGGACTGAAAAGGGCTTGAAGGTCGTCTACAACCTCTTAAAGAATATTTTGATGTAATCACAAAAATTTCCATCATCTTGTATATTTATCTTCCGACGTTTATCTCATTTGTTTTTATTTTTCTTATTTTGAACACAATTTTATTCGTTTAACAATAAATTGGATTTATTGATTATTCGATATAATTTTCTTTATTTGTTATAATATAAAGTATGATTTTCTATGATAACTGTTGCACGAAAATAATGTCGAGATTCTAATTAAAACCTTCCGAAATAATTCGAAAATAACACGGGTGCCATTTCGATATGCTATAATAATTTGTTCTCTCTTTTTATCTACCACCGCTCTTAACCTTTTTCTACTTCTTAATTAAAGGAAATTAATTGATCATCGAAGTCGTTAATACGCGCAGGTGTATTTCTTGGAGGAAAGAAATAAATAGGGAGTAAACTCGAGAGGAATGGCAATTTAGCGTGTGCCGCTCGAGGACAATTATATTAATTACCTCGCGGTATCGTTAAAGCGTCTTTAATTCTCTCGCACGCACCGTACTTCTTCCTTGGTATTCGCTTTTATATCCTATTAATAAAATTCGTATCTTACCGGAACAATTTTTCTTTTTCCTTCTGTTTCATTTCACGGTAACTAACGTGGTTCTTCTAAATTTTTCTAATGGTGGGTTTACAATTTTTCGATGTTATCTCTGTCAAAGAAATGATCAATAAATATTTAATGAGGGGAGGAGGGAAAAAAAACACAAGGAAAATATATTACAGAAATAATCGATAGGATGCGGGTAACGTTACTAGCCATACGTGGGCACATGCTTTGAAAATAGATAATAAATGGGAATTTAGGATGCAACGTGTAGAACTTATGATTATGATAATGTTCTTCTTGATTATCGCAAGAAATTTAGATGTATCTAAGTTGTGTTTGTTTAAATAGAAATATTTTCATTTAATCTAACACAACCATTCGATGTGAACGAAATTTAACGGTGATCTACATAAATCGGTCGTATCGAAAAACGGGTCGTTAGAACTACAAAACTCCGACTCTTTCTTTGTCTTCCTAAGAAACTATTAATCAAATGTAAAAACTTCGATCTGTTGAATTATTTGCTCGTGGAAAGGATGAAACAGGTTAATCGTTTAATCATTGCTTCGTGAAAAAGCGTACCACGCGAGTGAGATCGTCGGAGAATGACCTTGAACGATAGATGGGCCGTTAGACGCAACAACGTTATTACAAAAACGACGAGGTCACGTCAAACAGATGTGACCTCCTTCTAGCAAATCTTTCGTTACTTTCGAGTCTTCTTCTTTGCGTACGTTTTAATTAACCCATCTTCAAGCAATAAAGTTTGATGATATCTACATTTTATTCAATTCATCAATAGGATTAATAGAATGATTAGAAAACAAAATTATTAATTTTATTTTTGAGATACGTGTTGGACGCTTCTTTTATTATAATCTATCGAATATTTTTCAAATGGGAAAAGAAAAACAAATTAAAACAATTTCAAATTAAATTTATTTATTAATAAAATAAATATAAGCTTTTTGAAAAAAAAAATACAATAGAAAATATGTGAAAGAAATATTTTTAAATGATTTCTTTTTATTGTTCATTGACTAATTGTAAGACGACATTATCAAAACCAATGTTTTTTCAATGTATTCGTTCTCGACGTGAAACTTCATTTATGTTCGAGTTAGTTTATCTGCTATACACAAAGATATACATACCTACCTATTTAATTGTAACGTGCTGGGGCAATTATAATTACAAAACGTTTTCTAAGAAGTGACTTTTATAGAAAAGCAAGTACTCGGTTACTGAGTGAAAATGTAGTCTTCCTGAAAATGACAGAAAATGATCTTCTTGCTCCTGATCATAGTACTAACCGACCGAAATACTTGCATTCTTCGCGTTTTACCTGAGGATATCATGACTGAGGTAGACTCTGAAGAAAAAAACAAATAATCGTTTGTGAGAGTAATTCGAGCGAACTTCAATACCGTCAGATGTTGATTAGTCGTATTATTTTTGAACTCGGAATTCTTCTACTTATTAACTTTCACGATTATACCAACGAATAATTTTTAAAAGTTTTACTTAATTTTCGCGTTTTAACGAATAACGATTACATTTTTATATTTTTACTAATTTTTAGTTGTTTGCTTATATATCTTTATTTTCTTTATATACAATGCTTTCATTTCGTAACTTACCACCCTTTAACATAATTATTGATTTGAAGTAATTTCAATTTGTGTCAAATAAATACGTCAATTTAGATATCGAGAGGGAGAAAGTTTAAGACCAACGTTGATACAATTTTCAATTCCATTCCTTTCGCTCCATCCACCCCTACTTTCAAATCTTTAGTAGCATCCCATAATTTGTGATATATCATTTGAACGGCAATAAGAATCTATGTTTAATCAAGTTTAAAAAATTGAATTTACGAGAAATATCTAAAAATGATTTTCAATACTATTAAATGTTATGAAAATCCATTTTTTAGTAGTATTTTCAAAGTTGTCAACGCAAAATTGATTTATAGAATATATATAATAAGAAAATAAATTATAGTTTAATTTTGTCGACGTAGTGTTCGGTGTCATATTTATCGATACATGTGTTTATAAATCACTATTGAATATAAGTATAATAATACATACGTCACATATTACTTTTTTTTGTTGTTTAACATTAGAATTCAACATTTAACGTAATTCGACGAGCCATGAGTTCTCACGTTTCAAGGTACAACGGCATTATTCGTAAATTTATACAAAGACAATGACTAAACTTTGTCGTTTATAGTATCGCGTTCGCTGAGTCATCGGATTGGATATTCTCCTCGGTGGATTAATAAGATGGAATAAGAAAATCATCGTGTCGTGGTCCAAACAATGGTGGATACGTGATATCTAGAAACGAAACGAAACGAACTGAAAGAATTCGCGATTGGAAATAAATAGAGCTGGTGATACGCTAAACACATTGAGTTTTCCAAAAGGAAAATAGTTCTCTGCAACGAGAGATTGAAGAAAACGAAACTACGTGGCTATTTCTTTCTCTTTCTTTTTCTCTTGTGAATGAAGTCAATAAGTGATCGTTCGGTATTCTATGCACGCAGTCGAACGAAAGTTCGTTCTTCGGTAGCGAAGAGAATAATCGACGACCGAGGACAGAACAAAACGGAACGGAACTCTCTGGGCCCTTGTAATTCCGCGCGAACGTCGTCTTTTATGCAGACTTAAATCACATTCTCTGAGCATGAGTCGTAGCCTCTCCACTAGAAAGAAACTCACGTTCGAATAAGAGAGATTCTAGCTTGTGATCGTGAACGAAAAGAATTCTCTCTCTCTCTCTTACTCTTTCTTTCTCTCTTTCTTTCTTTCTTTTCGATCAACTACAGAGAAATCATAGATTTGATCCTTTTGCAGGAGGCTGACTTAACACAGTCTTAAGTCGCATTCCCTTCGAATGATTCGGTAGACCTGAGAAAAGATACTCTCGACAATACTCGAGCAAATTATCTTTTGTTATTAATGGACATTGTTACTTGATCCCGAACATTAACCGAGAGATAAAGAGATGAAACAAAGGAGACGAGAATTTTGCTAAATCTCATAATAAGATATTATAGAAGATAGAGTTCGATATATAAGAGCTGTTGATAAGCAAAAATTATTCATTTCACTTTTATAATTTTAAGAATTACTTTTGTCAAAGTAATCTTCACTTCATTTTTGATATTTCAAATATAATTTTGATTTAATAATATAACATATTTAAACATCACTAAATAACAACTGTTTTTATCGGCGTTGACTAATAAATGATAGGATAATGTATATTACTTTATTAATTTTCTCTATTTTTTGTTTTGCGGAGTTAATCGATTTCGCAAATGAGTAGCTCATATGTATGTGCATTATTATCGTATTTAATTAATGTTTTTGAACTAATGATAATTAATGTATATTTAATTCTACCAATTCAATTTACATATGACTGGTTATTCATAAAATAACTTAAGTAAGGAGAATAAAACTTTATAATATATTTTTGTAGCTTCTTTTCTGTCAATTTAAAATCAACAAGAAAAGGATTAAACATATATTTAAATATTATTATATATATTTATACTATTAAAAATATAAAATAATAAAGATTCGATTTATTTGAACCAAAATCATTCCGATAAGTTTTGATAGTTCTAAATATTAATAATATTCATCAATTAAAATTTGAACAACTAAATGCTGATAATACATTTTTAAATTATAATAAAACAATATTTATAATAAAAATTGTTATAAAAAAAATTAAATCAAGAAAATCGTTAACAACAAATGCAATATTTTAATTGAAAATTATAAACCGATTAACGATAGGCTTGACATTTAATCGTTTTAATAGAGAAATCACTTGAACCGGTTAGAAAAATCATTTAGAAATATATTCTCGATAAATTAATAAAAATTATGAATGATTAATAAACGTATAAGAGTAAAAGTTGAAGCAAACGTAGTTTTCTACGTGTGAACATCTAAAAAAAACTATCTTTATGAATGTAATGGTAACTCGTTAAAAACGTTCACGTAGCTCCTATCAGCT